GGAAAATCATGGGAGATCACATGCACAGTAGCTTTAAAGAAATACAACCACTTGCATATGCACAGTAAAAGCCCACCAAAACTAGCCAGGAAGGATCTGCCCTATAAGAATAGAATCCCCCGAGGTCAATCTCTGCTCAGAGTTGGCTTGCTCCCATGTTCTGTGGAGTGTACTATGCCTTAATCAATCTGCTCTCTCTCTCTTTATGCTATATACTCTGTGTGTTTGGTTCAACTCTTTGTCCTCAGTCACCAAGAACCTGGTGACCTGTGCCCACCTGTGACATACGCATAGACTTTAGCTCCACTGTTCATTGTACTTTTATAAATAAAACCCTGAAACTCCAAACAACCCAAACATGGCTAAATAGTTTGCATAAAACATGGTAGATGTATACAGACACTTACTGTATGGTTAGGTATACATGAAGTTCAAGCTCAGGCAAAACTAATCTCTCGTGGCAGAAGTTATGCCATTGTTGGGGGAAAATTGACTGCAAAGGGGCAAAGCAAACTTTAATGGTTTTAGAAATGATGGAAATGTTCTACAACCTAATTGGGATGCTAGTTACTTACTGATAAGCATTTGTTAAAACTCACTCTTTTTCGTTAAGTTTCAGACTTAACAAAACTCACCCTAATTTGTTAAATTGGAAATTTAAGATTTGTCTCTCGTAGATTATACTCGACATTTTGTTTTAAAAAGATTTTACTTACTTATTTTTGAGAGAGTGAAATGGAGGTGTTATAGTGTGTAGCCAAGAGGGGAGGCCCCAATAACACAGGAATGCTAGCAGGTGTAGCCAATTGTAAGAGGACTCAAAAATGGAGGTAGAGAAGAAGGTTGGTGCAGGGATTTAAACCCGGACTCCTCGGCAGCCATGTGAGAGAGAACCATGCAGTTTTGCCAGAGCGAAGACCCCCAGAGCTTTGCCAAGAGAAGACCATGGGGCTGTGGCAGTAGAGGGAGAACCATGCACTTTGGCGAGAGTAGGGACCCCCACAGAATTGCCGGGAGAGAACCACACAGTTTTGCCAAGGTGGAGACCCCCGCAACTTTGGTCAGAGAGAACCATGTGGCTTCTGCCAGAGGGGAGACCCCCACAGCTTTGATAGGCGAGAACCCCAGTGGCTTTGGCAAGAGTGAAGACCACGTGGCTTTGGGGTGCTCCCTTTGGCCATGCAGCTTAAGAAGTAGAAGAGACTTCGCCTAGGAAAAAAAAAGAGTGAAAAGACTCTTGCCAGTGGGCCATGAGAAGGTGCCACATGACTTTGGATTAACTAGAGATCCTGACAGCGACACAGCTGATGGTGCCAGGAGCCTGAATCATGGACCTCTACTTCTTTTCCTGAGATACAGTACCCCAGATTAGGGCAGAGGGAGAAAGGAAAACTGTGTGCATCTGTGGGTATCCTAAAGGACTTTGATATTTTAATGAAGACATTGGGTCACTACTGTAAGTCTGTATAGCTTTAAATAAACATTCCCTTTCCTTCTCACAAATCTCTAGCATTGAGAGACGTCTTTCCTCTGGCGGCAGACAATGAGAACCTAGTGGGGGATCCGCTTGGGAATAGTATATCATACCCCTCCCTTGTCCCTGTTCTGTAACAGAGGGAGAAAGAAAGGTAGAGAAACATCCATGTGTGAGAGAAACATTGATGGGTTGCCTCTTCCACTCTCCCCACCTGGGACTCAACAGGCAACACAGCCATGTGCCCTGACTGGGAATCAGTCCCTGGACCTTTGGGTTCACAAGCCAGCACTCAGTCCACCGAGCCACAGCAGACAGGGCTCACTTTTTGCTTTAACTAAGCTAACATGTAATCAAGCATTCATTAACACATTAGAGTCATCTCCCAAATTAAACAAAGCATCAGAAAAAGATCTATGCACATATAAAAATAATAGAGTGAAATTTTATATGGGTGGAAGCTTATTACCGGGTTCAGTGGTTAATGAATGTGTATCTTATTTGAGTAAACCAGTGATGGATCTCTACACTAGTCTTCCACTAAAGATATTTGCTAGATGGAGCAATTACTTCCACATTAGTAGTAGTCAGAACTAAAGAACTGGTAGTTCTTCACCATTGCCAACCTCTGTTTTAAGTACACTTTGTACATTTACTCATTCAACCTTTGTAAACCTGAAATTTTACAACAGCCCTGTTACTTCACAACACCCCAGTGAGGCAGGTTTTGTTATTGCTGTCATTTCTTGTTGTTGTTACTATAAAGAGAGAGACAGAGAGAGAGAGAGAGACAACTCAACCATTCAGTCAACCACTCAGACCATTTGAAATTATTTTAAGCACAGAAAGGCTAAAAATAATGTTTTGTATTTTCATTTATTAGGGATTTAAGAAAAGAAAATTCACTTATCATGATGAAGGTCAGAGCAGAAGTTATTTCTGAGCATGTTTAAGGATGGGTATATATAGTGTTAGATGGGTATGAGGTGTATTGGGGTGATCATTCAGCAAGCTAAATGATGTCTAGTCACTGGAGTATACAGCTAAAACTAATATAATATTGTATGACAACTGAAATTGGAAAATAGAAAACCCAAAGAGACAATAAAACTGTAAATGCAATGCACAGATTGGGAGACAATGGCTCATATATCAGATAAAAATCTAGTATGCAGACTATCTAAGCAGTTTTTATAACACCACAACAATAAAGAGAAGCCAACTGAAAAATAAGGACCGCAATAAACATTTCTCCAAGGAAGATAAACAAATGGCCAACAAGCACATGAAAGGATACTGAACATTATTTCCTTAGTCGTTCTTTTAAAAAGTGCAAACAAAAACCACAATGAGATACCACTTTACTCTCTGGCGGGACAATAACTAAAGAGGGGGCTCTACATAACTAAAAAGGTGGGGGAGGAAAACAACAAGTGTTTGCAGGATATGGAGATATTGGAACACTCATACATCCCCAGTGGGAATATAAAGGTGCAAACCACTATAGAAAACACGTTGGCAGTTCCTCAAAAAAACAAAACAAAACATAGAACTACCCAGAAATTCCACTCCTAGGCATATACCTAAAAGAACCCAAACAAAAACATGTTCATGAATGTTCATAACAGCCAGCATTATTCATAACAGCCAGAGGTGGAAACAACCTAAATGTCCACCAGCACCTGTTGACTGGATAAACAAATGGGATATGCCCATGCTTAGGTATATTATGCAGCTATAAAAAGGAAGGACATACTGATACATGCTGCAACATAGATGAATCTCAAAAACATTAGGCCTAGTAAAAGAAGCCAGACACAAAAGGTCAAATTTAGGGTGACAATTGACGTGAAAATGTCTGGAACAGAAAACAAGTAGTCAAGGATGGGCTGTGAATGCTAATAAGGTGGTAGGTTTTGTAATTTTTTTAAAGTGATTAAAACGTTCTACAATTAGATAGCAGTGATGGTTGCGTGACCTTGTGAATATACTAAACACTCTGACTTTTACAGCTTAAAATGGTGACTTTTGTGGTACGTGAATTATACATAGCTCAATAAAAGAAGGTATTTATTAAAAAATGGGAGGTTTTAAATAGAAATACAAATATATAATATACAAAATGGATATAAAACATTTTAAATACCTTGCAGTTTAGGCACTTGTTTAAAAGGTTATTGAAATAGATATTTACATGTGTATTTATATTTCTCATTTATTTGGCATAAATCTCAGATTAACTAAAATTGTTTCAGAACACATTTGTCTGTGAAGTTAACTCCTTTCTAACTGCAAACTTGCTTTCAAAATCATGACATTTAGTTCAAAATATATACTATTTCAGTGTTTGTGGTTCATTATTCTGGAAATATGTGTTGGGAAATTGATTTTGATATATGCTATATATTTTGACCACAGATCTATTTTGATTCTATAAAGGGATACTTTTCTTTGCAAACCACCAGCTTTGTAGTTTACCCTATATACAAATTGTATTGTATTGTCTTTCATTTAAGTTTGTTATTAACTCTCATCAGATTACCCAGATTCTGTCTCTCACATATTATCCCTCCATTTCCAAATTTAAATTGTCAACATTCTTAACATTCCACCGGTATTTTTCTTTCCATAAATTTGAAAGAAAGGCGGCAATGGAAACAAGTGCAGTGACATTGTTAAAAGCAATTTTTCAGAACAAGAGGCAAAAGCATGAGCCTCACACCAATATTTAAAAAAAAGAATGAGCACAAGGCATATAGACATTTTCAGCTCAAAGTGCCATGAAAAACACGGAGATTTGTGTGGAGTCCACGGATTGAAATGTAAATGCCAGTTAAACTGCACCTCACCTCCCCCCACCTCATGGCGAGGGAAGGTAATAAAAGCTAGCAAAGAAGACAGAATTTACATCTCTATTTGTAAATAATCTGCAGTTTACAAAAAACAAAAAATGCACAAAGTAGACGAGGGGTCAACCAGTAATGTAGAAGAGACTGCTTTAGAAGTTAGGAGATTTTCCACTGGATTGCAACATTCCCCCCCACCCCATGGCACAATTTTGCACCTGCTTCTCACCGCTTTGTTTGTGAGTTGAAGTATTTAAAATAGAGCAGAATGTTATTAACCTATGCTGGCAGTTACCAGAATATCGATATATACCTAAAGACATTTAATGGTCAATTATTAGAACAACTAAAATTAGGTATACAAGTTGTTCCATTAATAGAAAAGCAGATCACCTTGGGAGTCAAGCAGTTTTGGTGGTGTTAAGATAATTTCTTATCAAGTTATTTCAAGCAGCTATACACGCACGTTGCATTACTTCAGATGTCCTAGTTCTTTATATGTCAAAAATGTTTGCGCGCCCTATTTTTAAATTAAATTTCAGGTACAGTTGTGGTCAAGTTGAGATGTATGGGAGCTTTACTGCTGAGAGGGAGGAAATCGCTAACAAATATAAACGTGAGGGGTGCCCGGCTCTAAGATACTGTAAAAAGGGAACATATGATAGCCAGTTACCCGATTGTCATGCAGGCTTGTAGAGTTGCTGCCCTGCTCCTGTCGCAAACCCACTGCCTCTGTTCACGGGTTGTGGGCGGCTTAGCTGCTCCTGCATTCGTGAGTGTGTAGCCTTACTAGAAATGTCCGTCTATGTGCTGGGGTGCAACTTCCCGTCCATTTGCACCCGTGCTGAAGAGGAGTCTGCGGGCAGCGAGTCGTCAGTTTTCTGCGGCACCTTGGCCTTCCGACGAGGTCTGTATTTGTAGTCCGGGTATTTCTCTCGATGTTCGTCCCGTAGTCTCTGAGCCCTGTCGAAGAATGGACGTTTTTCGGCTTCTGTAAGCATTTTCCATTGGCATCCTAGTCGCTTGCTGATCTCTGAGTTTTGCATCTGGGGATTTTCTAGAGCCACCTTGCGCCTTTGGTCTCGAGACCACAGCATGAAAGCATTCATGGGTCGTTTGATGCGGTCCTGACAGCTGTTGTCCCTACCACTTCCTCCTGTTTCACACCAATAATTTGAGCTAGGATTGCCCATCCAGGGCAAGGAAGTGGTTTTCCCAAACGCTTGGGTAGGTGGTTGCTGTGCCGCCGGACTGTAATCATCGCCGCTGTTTATTACTCTGAACATAGCCTATGGCAGTTTACACCATTAATCGACAGGTAGCAACATCAGAAGGTGTAACTGTTCTGAAATTTTTCGTACTACTCAAACCTTATTTATCGTAGAAACTCCATCGCTGTAACTTTTGTGATAAAACGTTTGTTTTCCCCTCCCACAATTACTCCCCTAAAGCACCCTGCGGCTCTCCGCCAAACTGACGGAATCCACCCAAACACAACTTCTTAATCATAGCAGCATACTGCGTGTGCACTCCGCACGCAGAGAGCCTTAACGCACCACGCAGAAGGCTCTAAATAGTGAAGGCAGTCTTGGAAATTATAATAAAGCACAGTATTTTGATGCAGTAAAATCTCCGCCTTTCCCACCCCCACCTAACCCCGCGCTGCTCGCAAAATGGGAGTAACAACCACTGACCCTGCATAACAAAACATATTGAAACTAGAAATAAAGTCTCACCAAGATTAAATGCAAATAATCTCAAAACTTCTAAGAACGTAAATGTGAAATTATTCGTTCATTACAAGCAAATAACCTCCATAACAAAGTGAAATTTAGGCAATAAGTGCTATGATAAATTAATATTGGAACCTCCACAGAAGTGTTACTTTATCCAGTCCAAACGCAAGTACAAGTCTCACATTTCACACACTCATCATGTAACACACTATTCAACATCCAAATAAAATTAGGACATGTTCTTACTTGACCCAATTTAAGAGAAGTAAGTATCTTAAGGCAGAATCAACTGTTTAAATTACTCTCATGCACAAAAGCAAATTTTGTGAAGCTGGAAATTGTTCACTCTATGGCTAAAGAATATGCCACTTCAAAACTGATTTTAGTTATTTTTTATTATTATTCAAGTATGGATGTCTCCAAGTATGGATTGTCCCCCCACCATTCACCCCAACCCCCCACACACCCAAAACTCCCACCATCAATCTTACCTGCCTTTGGCTTTGCACATGTGCCCTTTATAGATGTTCCCTGATGATGGATCGCCCCCACCGCATTATCCCCTCCCACCTCCCCTTTGGTCACTGTCAGCTTGTTCCATATTTCAGTGTCTCTGGTTATATTTAGCTTGTTTGATTTATTGATTAGATTCCACTTACGGGTGAGATCATATGGTATTTGTCTCACACCACCTTGCTTCTTTCACTTAGCATGATGCTCTCCAGTTCCATCCATGCTGTTGTGAAGGTTAGGAGCTCCTTCTTTCTCTCCACTGCACAGTATTCCACTGTACAAATACACCATCGTTTTTTGATCCACTCATTTACTGGTGGGCACTTAGGTTACTTCCAGCACTCGGCTAGTGATAATTGTGCTGCTACGAACATCGAGGTGCACAGGTTCTATTGAATTGGTGTTTCAGGACTCTTAGGGTTTAGCCCCGGCAATGGAATTGCTAGGTCAAAGGGCAATTTCATAGTTTTCTGAGGACACTCCATACTGTTTTTCCACAGTGGCTGCACCAGTCTGCATTCCCACCACCAGTGCACGAGGGTACCCTTTTCTCTACAGCCTCAGCAGCACTTGTTGTCTGTTGATTTGTTCATGATGGCACTTCTCACCAGTGTGAGATGGTATCTCACCGTGGTTCCAATTCCCATCTCTCTGAAGGCTAGCGATACTGAGTATCTTTTCATACGTCTCTGGCCCTCTGCATGCCCTCCTTGGAGACACATCTGTTCAGGCCCTGTACCCATTTTTTAACTGGGTTGTGTGTCTTCCTGGAGTGGAGTGATGTGGGTTCTTTACATATTTTGAAGCTCAATCCCTTGCCCAAGGTATCATTTGCAGATATATTTCCCCCTTTTCGTTTTGCTAATGTTTTTTTTTTCTTTTACTAGATGTGTAGATGCTTTTTTATTTCGATGAAGTACCGTTGGTTTACTCTTTCCTTTATATCCTTTGCTCTAGGGACACACTGATCAAAGTATTGCTGGGTGGAATATCTGATATTTGCTGACTATGTTCTCCTCCAGGACTTTTATGGTGTCATGACTTATATTTAAGCTTTTTGTCCACCTTGAGTTTATATTTTGTGTATGGTGTAAGTTCATGGTCAAGTTTCATCTTATCACATGTGGCTGTTCCGATCTCCCAACACCATTTGTGGAAGAGGCTATTTTAACTTCATTTTAGGCTTCTGCCCCCTTGGTCAAATATTCATTGAGCATATAGGCTTGGGTTAATTTCTGGGCTCTCTGTTCTGTTTCATTGATCTATGTGTCTGCTCTTATGCCAGTTCCAGGCTTTTTGATTACAGTGGCCTTATAATATTGGTTGGTATCAGGTATTGTGATCCCTCCTACTTTGTTCTTCTCCCTCAAATTTGGTGAGGCTCTTTGGGGTTGTTTATGGTTCTATATAAATTTTTGAAATGTTTCTGCTGTATCTGTGAAATATGTCATAGGGACACATATTTTAATAGGGATCCTGTTGAATCTATAAGTGGCTTTGGGTTGCTTGGACATTTTGATGATGTGAATTCTTCCAATCCATGAGCATGGGACATGCTTCCGTTTGTTTAGGTCTTCCTCCATTTCTTTCCTCAGTGTTGTGTACTTTCCTGAATACAGGTATTTTACACCCTTGGTTAGGCTTATTCCTGGGTACTCTATTTTTCTTGTTGCTATATCAATTGGGATGTCTTTCCCTGATTCTTCTATCTGAGATTTTATTACTGGGCTACAACAATGCCCTTGATTTCTGAATATTGACTTTGTGTCCTGCTGTTTTGCAAAATTTACTTCTTCGGATGAGTAGATTTTTGGTGGAGTCTAAAGGATTTTCCATGTACACTATCATGCCATGTGCAAACAATGACAGTTTTGCTCCCTCCTTTCCAATTTGGATGCCATTTATTTCTCTTTCTTGTCTGAGAGCTGTGGCTGGGATTTCCAATATTATGTTGAATAGAAGTAGGGAAAGCTGACATCTTTGCTCTGTTCCTGATCTTAGTGGGAAAGCTTTTAGTATTTGCGCCTTGGGTAGAAGCTTGGCTGTAGGGTTCTTGTACATGCTTTTATTAGGTTGAGGTATGTTCTCTCTACTCCCACTTTGCTGAGTGTTTTTATCATAAACATGGTGCTGTACCTTATAAAATGCTTTTTCCACATCTATTGATATGATCATGTGACCTTTGTCCTTCCTCTTGTTTATGTGATGTGTTACATTTATTGATTTGCAAATATTGAACCATCCTTGCGTCCCTTGGTTGAATCCCAATTGGCCCTGGTATATGATATTTTTAATGTATTGCTGGATGCAGTTTGCCAACATTCTTTTGAGGATTTTTAGTGTCTATGTTCATCAGTGATATTGGCATGTAGTGTCCCCTCATTGTTTTCTCTTTAGCTGGATTGGGGATTAAGAGGATGCTGGCCTCGGAAAAAGAGTTTGGGAGTCTTCCATCTTCTTGGATATTTTGGAATAGCCTGTGAAAGACAGGGGTTAGCTCTTCCTTAGATATTTTGTAAAATTCTCCTGTGAAACCATCCAGTCTAGGGCTTTTGTGTGCTGGCGGGGGGGGGGTGGAGAAGGGGGGTTGACTACCTCTTCAATTTCACCAGCCGTTATCCATCTGTTCAGGCTCTCTGCTTCTCCTTGATTCAGTTTTGGAAGATTGTATTTTTCTAGAAATTTGTCCATCTCACTCAGGTTTTCAAGTTTCTCAGCAAATAATTCTTTGTAGTAATTTCTTACCATCCTTTGTGTTTCTGTGGTATCAGGTGTAACCTCTGCTCTTTTATTTCTGATTTTGCTTATTTGTGGCATCTCTCTTATTTTCTAGATGAGTCTGCTTAATGGCTGGTTGATTTTGTTTATCTTTTCCAGGAAGCAGCTCCTGGATTTATTGATCCTTAGAATTGTTCTTTTGGTCTCTATGTTGCTCAATTCTGTTCTGATCTTGGTTATTTTCTTTCTTCTCCTTGCTCTGGGCTGTTAGCTGTTGTTCCTCCAGTCCTTGAAGATATAGGGTTAGGTTGCTTATTTGAAACGTTTCTATCTTTTATTTTCAGGTAGGTCTGCATCGCTATGAACTTCCCTCTCAGGACAGCCTTTGCTGTGTCCCATTTGGTTTTCATGTTGTGTGTCCATTTTCATTTGTTTCCAGACAGTTTTTTATTTCTTCCTTGATCTCGTTACTCACCCTTCCATCTGAAAAAATTTGAGTGTGTTTGAGTGTTTTCCTTTGAGGTTGGTTTTTAGTTTCAGTCTCTTGTGGTCAGAAAACACTTGATATGATTTCAGTGTCATTGAATTTGTTGAGGCTTGTTTTGTGTCCTATCATGTGGAATATGTTTGAAAATGGTCCTTGTGCATTTGAAAAGAATGTGTATTTTGCTCCTTTGGGATGAAAGGTTCTATATATCCCAGTCAAGACCATCTGATCTAGAACATTGTTAAATGTCACAATATCTTTGCTGATATTTTGTTTGGAGGATCTATCCATTGTTGACAGTGGGGTGTTCAAATCCCCTAGTATAAGTGTGTTGCTGTCTATATCTTTCTTGAAGTCCTCCAAGATTTTCTTTATGTATTTTGGTGCTCCTGTATTGGGTGGATATACATTTATAATGTTTATGTCTTTTTTGTGGATTCTTCCCTTGAGTGTTAATCTATTTTGACTGATATAAATGTCACTCACCCAGCTTTTTTTCCTGTTCATTTGCTTTGACCATTTTCCCCCCCAAACCCTTTCCTTTCAGTCTGTGTAGACCTTTGGTTCTGTGGTGGGTCTCTTGTAGGCAGTGTATGTGTGGGTCATGTTTTCTTTTTCATTCAGCTACCCTATGTCTTTCTGATTGGAGCATTCAATCCATTTACATTTAAGGTTATTATTGATAGGTACTTATCCATTGTTGTTGTACCGCCTTTGTACCTGTGTTCCTCTCTCCACCAGCCCCTTTCTCTTTCTCTCTGTCTTGCTCTTTTTCTTCCTCTTCTGAGAACAGTGCCATCTGCATCTGTTGCACTCTCATTTGGTGGATGTG